ATTATCAATAACAGAGGATTAATCTACGTACTTTCAGCTACAAATGGGGTGCTTTATCTAAACAAAAGCTGTCCGTATAACGGTATAAGAGCTGTCCAAATATGAAGTAAACGAGATGTGCTTAACGGAGTTCAATGACCCTCACGAGCAACCATGGATTCCAGAAGGGGAAAAACTAGCGTAGGGGAAGGGCCTTCCACCACTTGATAATTTTATTTCAACTACTGATATAAATGTTAAATCGAATGTTAATTTGGCATGAATTTCATTAATTCCCAACACCAAGTATGAGACTTTTAACTTCGAATGTAATGCATGGCGAAGAAAAGTGTTGCCTGTTTAGTGGTCATGTAATTGCAACAGTTTTCGATCGGATTTACACTGCTAAACGAGCATCATTTTTCCTCGTCATGCATTACATTGGAAGTTTTAAGAACGTAGAATAATACTCTCTAACGGCTGGGAGCCAGTAATTACAAGAACATTGTTAAAATCACATTTATTTGCAACGGTTGACAATGTATCTCGTCAGGCGTATCTTGTTTAGTTCACTTTGGACAGCTCTTACACCGTTATACGGATAGCTTTCGTCTCGATAAAGCACTCGATTTATAGCTGAAAGTACGTAGATTAATCCCCTGTCATTGAAAATAACAATAAACGACCAGAACACTGTTAAAATCGCATTTAATTGCGGAATACTACTATTTTTTGAATGGTGGCGCCACCCGTGGCGAATCGCTGAAACTGCTGGCCATATAATTGGCTAGCAGTTTCAGCGATTCGCCACGGATGGCGCCACTGTTCAAAAAAGTAGTGATACTCCGCGATTAAATGGGATTTTAACAGTGTTCTGGTCGTTTATTGTTATTATCAATAACAGAGGATTAATCTACGTACTTTCAGCTACAAATGGAGTGCTTTATCTAAACGAAAGCTGTCCGTATAACGGTATAAGAGCTGTCCAAATATGAAGTAAACGAGATGTGCTTAACGGAGTTCAATGACCCTCACGAGCAACCATGGATTCCAGAAGGGGAAAAACTAGCGTAGGGGAAGGGCCTTCCACCACTTGATAATTTTATTTCAACTACTGATATAAATGTTAAATCGAATGTTAATTTGGCATGAATTTCATTAATTCCCAACACCAAGTATGAGACTTTTCTTATACGCCACTTTTTCGTGAAAGTATATATTTTTTCCTTTATCGGAAATCGTGAATCGTGAACGGATTCTCTTCCGTCCGTTCACTGTAAAGTAGACGTATTGGAAAGGAGTCTTGGGTTCTAGTCCCGACGGACCTATTGGTTTTTTTTCGCGTACAAAAAAGTTACTGCGCTTAATATTGTTTTTATGAATATGTATATATATTATCATGTACATTTGAGTAAATTATTTTATTATTCCATTGTCATTACAACAGTTTAACAGTGACAACGAACGCATGTATATTTTCAAATATCGGACTAACAGTATATTTTTATTCTATATTATCACAAACATCGCATAAAAGATATTCCGTTATATTGACATTTGTAATAATTATGGATGTTGCGGGGAAATCTATTGACATTATGGAACATGTAACGAAATATCACTGTAACACTTAAAAAAGTTTTAAAGTTCCATTTAT